GCGCCCGCTGCTGCCCGCGCCCTGGAGGGGCCTCCCGGGGCCTGGCCCCAGGGGCTGGAGGATGAAGTCCACGCGGCCCGCCTGCCTCATCCGCGCGGGGATGGTGACCTTCTTGACGACCTTGGCGTAGCCAGGGGCTTGCGCGATGACAATGTGGGACCCCGGGGGCAGCAGTCTCCAGTAGTCGCCGTCCGGGGCTGCGGACAAGTGGGGGGCGGCGTGGGGCCGGGCCGAGGCCAGCCCTGAGGGCACCCGGGGGCATCCTGCCTGCCCCTCCTGTCAAGCTCCCGTTCACCCCTCAAAGGCCTGCCCAGGGGCCCTGCACTCTGATGACCCCCAGCCCCCAAGCCCAGCCTGCAGAGCGACTGCACCTGCACCCCAGAACCACACCACAGCGTGCGGGGGCTGTTTCCCAGCGAGCCCCGGGGCGCCGGCACAGTAGCTTCTGAGCACAGGGCTGGAGGGGCCGGGCGTGGGCGGCGGGGCTCCCCCCAGTGTCTGGGGAGCGTGGGGAGCCTGAGGCACAGCTGCCTCGGGCACCCGCTCCCCGGGGAGACAGGGGCTGCAGACCCCGGGCTGGGGCGCACTCGGCCCAGGGCGCCTGCTGGGGTGGCGGCGCTCACGGGGGCGGCGAGTCCCCACGGCCGGCCGGGCGCTCACCTGTGGTGACGTCGTGGCGGATGCCCCTGACCGAAACCCTGGCGTTCCTCACCGGCTTGCCGAATTTGTCCATCACCACTCCCTTGATGCCCCGGTGCGCCTGCGGAGAGCGGGCGGGCAGGCTGGCGCTGTGCCCGGGAGCCCCGCCGCCCGCCGGCTGCGCTCAGGCCGCCCCCCAGCTCCGCCCGGGCTCGTGGGGTGCCCCGTCTGCCCGAGGGTCAGGCTGGCTCCAGCCCTGGCCACGAGCAGACGCCTCCCGCCCGCCTGCCCACACAGACGCCCGTCCTGTGCCGGCAGCCGGCCTGGGATGGCCCCGAGGTCGTGCGGCAGGTGGGAGGTCACGTGCGTCGGCCCCGGCCAGCCCCAGCAGCCCACTCCGGGGCCCGCATCAGCCCTGGCCCTCGGTGTCCTCTCCCCACGTGTCCGATGGGCAGCGAGTGGCCTGGGCTGCTGAGCCCACCCGCCGCCTCTTCCCCACCGTGCAGGAACTGGCCCGGGCACGGCTCCCCACAGCCCCGTCCAGGCCGAGGCTGCCCTTTCCAAAGGACGGTCTGACCCTCCCGTGTTTCTTCTTTAAAAGTCAAGAATAAACGAGCCGAAGCCCCTTGCGCCGAGAGGCTGGAGGCCACCGCGGGGGCCCAGCCCTGTCCTCTGCTCTGAGCACCCCACACCGCACAGTCCCCTGCCTCCAGGAAGCCCTTCCTGATGACCACAGCAGGGCCCTCTCCACGGCCCCCGGCCCTGGCCGGCTGTTCTCCCTGCATGGACGTCCCCGGGTGCCCGCAGGGAGCGGACGCACAGTAGGCCTCGCTGACGCCCGCCCCCAGCACCTTGGGCCGTCCCTACGCTGGGCCTGAGAGGCCACCGCCCCGCAGAGCCGCCCGGGGGCCGCTGGGCAGGCGGGAGACGGCAAGCTGGGCACCTGCCCCTGCCCGCCGGGGCAGACGCCTGGTCAGGATCACGGTGGAAAGGCCTCGACAGGCCCAGACAGCGCGATCCTTATCAGAGGCCACGCGGCCACGCCCGGCCATCAGCCCCCGCCCGGCCGCCACTAAATCTTTCCAGCCCAGCCTTCACATGCAATATCGCCGAGCAATCCCAGCGCCGCGACTCCTCAGGGGTCATTTTCACCAGACAGTCGTAAAACGAAATGAGCGGGAGGCCCCTGCGCCACCGGCAGTCCAGGCCGGCCACTCTGACAGACTGCCCGCTCCTGCCCGGCTGCGGCCCCCAGGGACTGCTGTCCTCATGGCAGGAGGCCCTGGGCCCTGCTTGGCGCTGGCGGCCCGTCCGGCCCCGGCAGCCGTGACCCTGCCTCTTGCCCTGGCTCTTCCCAGGTGCCCTCGCGCCCAGCCCGCGCCCACATGCCGGTCCATGGCAGCTGGACACGCCAGCCCAGTCGTGTGGTCACTCGGGGCCTGCGAGGCTGCCCCCCGGGGGCTGCCGCTGGCCCTGAGCCAGGCTGGCCGAGGCTCCCACAGCCCGCTTCTGCACCCGCGGCAGCCCTTGCTGTTGGGGTGCTGGGAGGGCAGCGGGGCCTCTGACCGCTGGGCCTCCGGGGGAGGGGGGCTGTTCTGGGCGCCGCTCTGCACCTGCCCCGCCCACCGGCTTCCGGGGAGCTCAGCCCACCCCGAGTTGCCCCTGGGTGCCCCTCGGTGCCGCCAGTCCTCACCATGGCCACAGACCCCTGCCGCTCTGTGCCTGCCGCAAGCTGACACCCGCGTCCCCGCGCCATGATGCAGCCAGACGCCGCCTCCTCCAGGGAGCCCCCGAGGCTCCCAAGGCGGGTGGGTGTCCAGCCGGCAGCCCTGCCCGCGGGCTC